CACTTGTGCTTTTAGGGGGCACAATTTTAAAATTCATCTTAACCTACTTTAATTATTATTCATTCAGTCATTTTTCACCATGTCATATATCACTGCAATCTCTAGAAGTAATCTAACAATTTAAACTAAAATGAATGTGTCAATGTTTCATCATGTTTAATTTATTTGACAAATTATTTTGTATTGTAGTGTCAGGGGCATCATGCACTCATTTTTGAGGGGGCACAAGTGAAGGGGGGGGGGCTCTCATGCTTGTCATGTGACACAGCAGCCACAATACCACTGTATAACTGATATAGGTATAATGGTTTACACTACAAATAACCATTAAAAAGATTACAAACCATCAACTTTTAACCATTAAAACCATTTAAAAAATGGTTTTCTGTAGTGTGTTTTACATATTCCATTAGGATTTATTGGTTTTAACAAGCCACCAATAGAAGGCAACCAATTACCAGTAGAGGCCAACAGGGTCCATTACAGTTTCCAGTAAAACCAATACAAGTCCCATTATAACCACTAAAACCATTACACATTTTTATTAATTTTAAATTTTTATTCAAAATATTCCCAAAATATATCATGAAATATCTCGATTCTCAAATATGTGTAAGTAAATGCATTTTGCACCTTTATAGATTATGTTAGTTGATCTATAATGGGCGATGGGCAAAGTAGCCTAATAGTGTACTCTATTAACTTTGCATAAAATCCGTCTTTTTACTTAAGTACCAGATATGGGTGTCATACCATACAATATTTTAATACGACTAACGTTGTATTTAATGTGAATTCAATAAAAACATTGTAAGTTACTAGCCTTTAACACTTTCATTGTACAAAAAGAGAGCAAAGAACATATACATTATCAAAGAAAATTTTCACTTCAGTCCAGCCAGTTCAAACAGCGTGTTTCAGCGGTGACTCATCTGAACGCCTCTGACTGGTCTTTGTATTCATAAACTCAACATAATAATATGGGATTGGTTATAATGCGCAGTGCTTTAAAAACGCATGTGTCTCTGGCTCTGTGCCAGCCAGCGAACGCAGATTTGAATTTAGCAGCTGGGGATGTTTTTCTTTTTTTATATGTAGTTTACAGGACAAACTGCGCATTTCACCCAAAATTGTTTGGTGTGATATGATTCCAGATTAGGGGGGGGGGCAAGCTTGTAGACAGAGGGACACCCCCCATGGCCACCCCCTAGAACTGCCCCTGCTGAGATGTCAGCTTTTTAGAGATTATAAAGGAGCTTATATTATAGCTTATATTGCTCGCTTTCTTCCGTGAATAATTAAGCAGGTCTTTGGTAAGATGAAGACACGTTGGAGGTGCTTACTGTTCAAGTCTCTTGAGGTGGACCACACCTAACACTGACAACAGGAGACATAATTGAAGCCACTGAAGCTGTTGAGGACATTGGTTTGCATTCACCCTGTCCAGTTGGGGTGTAACAATCCATCGATATGGATCGATATATTGATCAAATGTCGATATGATATGATGTATTGATGCTGCACGTGAAAATTTGTTACCTGTAGTATGAAAGCTGTCAAAGAAAAAAAATCACTCACTGTTCTTGACTGAATAACGTTTGTAACTTTAATAAGGATTAATCTATATTTCATTTATACAGTGAAGACTATGGAGATAATTTTACATTTGATTACTTTATTACATTTCTGTATAGGCTACATAAACAGTGCTTTTCGGGTTTATCAGGTAGGTCTAAAAGAAGTGTTCATTTAACTTGTGCCTTTGTATTTACTTTCTGCTATTGCTTGTAATTGGGAAAATATTCTTAAAGGGGTCATATGATGCGATTTCATTTTTTCCTTTCTCTTTGGAGTGTTACAAGCTCTCGGTGCATAAAGAAGATCTGTAAAGTTGTAAAGACTAAAGTCTCAAATCCAAAGAGATATTCTTTATAAAAGTTAAGAGTTAGCCGCACCCTGAGCCCTGCATGTCTTCATGAGACCCAGACTACAATGTATAGTGACAAAAAAAGTCTCAAAGCAAATAAGTTTTAAGAGCTTAATTTTTTTAATTTCTTTTTGTATATATATTTTTCTACATTAATGTATTTTTGTACAATTGGAGTACCTCGTTTTTCCTGTTTCCTAATGAGGGTTGACACTATATTTTACACTTTGCACATTTTAGCACAGCTAACCAATCACAGCACATTTCGTATTTCAGAAGGCGGGCCTTCATTTGATACAGGAACTATTGGAGCCGTTCATGCCAGACTGGGGAGAGAGGTGTTGTAATAATGTAAAATATGTGAAAAAAGTATGTGTTTTTCGAGCAACCTAGTATGAGAGCATGTTCTAGTACACCCCCAAAACAAAATCAAGACTTTGTAAAAGAGCATAATAGGACTCCTTTAACACTGCAATATTGAGAAGTCAACTGCAGAGGATAACAAGAAACTGAGATGTTCAAATTTTTTTCATGATGGTTAAGAAGTTAATAATCATAATGAAGTGAAGAGAGTATTTTTCACCAACTGGCTGTTTTTTTATTCATGAAGACTCTGTGTACCACTTTAATTTGTAACACACAAGAGAGAAAGCGATCAACTGAGCATGTGATTCCCTGTGTCCGACCTTCTTTAAGTCAAGTCATTAGAGATTCACAGATCAGCTCAAATGACACTGAATCCACTGCTTTAAATAAATTATCCACCCACACCTATATTTTTCTCAGATTTAGATATCCTCCCCGACCCGCACCTGATCGTCACACTACAATGATTCTAATTCTTAGTTTTGTATGAAATGATGAATGGATGGTTAATTTTTAACAGCAGATTCAGTGATGTTAGAGCTGATCTGTGCATCACTGCACACGTCTGCGGCAAATTATGGCTCCATGGCCACCGGAGCTGATTGCAGCCACTCTAGTCAATGCTTGTGTTTATGCCAGTCGTGCTGTGGCACGTTTCAGAAGCGGCTCACCACGCTGCTTCACTAAAGATAGGCACCTAGTCTATTTTTGACAGACACTGTGTCCAAGACACATAATTAGATAACTGAGGATGTATTTTAAATGACTAAAAACAGCTACAAATCTTTTATCCTTGTCATTCATAACTCGGCTTTTAAGTGTATTACCTTTGCATGTATTCTACAGCACAACAAAATAGAACATAACAATAAACAATATTAAACCAGACAAAACACAACCATTTAGCCAAATAACCCATGATAGAACCCCCAAAACCAAGAAAAACAATGGCGGACACTCAGACATCATGGTCTCGCGAATCCAGTTCTCTGATAGCACACTTACATCACAGAGATGTCTATTTTACATCTGTTTTTACATCTAGCAACATTACAGACTAACTAAAGTTGAAAAAGTGAAAAAGCATAATAGGACCACTTTAAAGTGCCCCTATTATGCCATTTTTAAGGTTGCTAATATTGAGTCTCCTAAAACAAGTTTACATGCATGCAAGGTCAAAAAACACGTTAGTTTTCTCCAAAAATTAATTTAATTTTACCTAATTTCTAAATGATTCGTAAACGACTTGTGTGAAGCAGTTCAAAGAATCAGTCTCTTAACCCCTCCTTTCCGTGAGCCCTCACTGCTGTGATTGGTCAGATGGTGCAGTCCTTTGTGATTGGTCTACCGCGTAGGGTTGCACAATATAATACAATATATAATATAGCACAATATATAATAAATACCACATCTAAATGTCACTTCATGCAGCTTATGTGCAGTGCTAAGATGAGTTTTGTTTACATCATTTCATGGATAACAATAGTCAGTCATTCATTCACATTAATGAAGTATTCAGAGAAAAATCTTGTCTGTTTTCATTTACATCTATTTATTTATGAAATTTTGATTAATTTTGTAGAACTGTTTAAAATTTTAATTTTAAATTAACACAATACTGCATGGTATCATGATACTTCAGCTGGTATAGAATCGTAAGCCATTTTTATGGTATCATGACAACCCTACTTCCGCGTACAGCGCGTGTCGGAAATGAAACGCCCATTGCCATGACGGAATGAAAGCCCTGGAGACTTGTCAATACATAGAAAAGATGGTATCGATTGTACCTTACCAATTCGAGATGGAGTCTGATGATGAAACGGTTGAAGTGGCACATTGACAAGAGACTGATTCGCAAGCACGACTGGTGCAGGATGTTTCTCAGTGGTAAGTGTCAAGTGTTAACAAGTTTGTGGTAATTATAAGATGTGATAAAACAAATGTACTCTCACAGCATAGGATACAGCGTCTTCTCGACATGATGTTAACCACACGGAAATTTTACTGTTTGTAGGCGGGCAAGTTGGCGACGTAGAACGTGGGTGGACATTATGCAAATGTGTTACTTCGTGACGTAGAGCCGTAACAGAATAAGATTCTAATTCCTGACGACTCGTTTTGGCCATTGCGAGCCGACTCTTTTTCTGACAGACAATAACTTTATTTATCGTGCACTGTTGGCTTCACAACTTTGCAGAGAGTTTATGTTCACATACAGCTACATGACGCACTGCATGAAAGGTAATATTCGAAAAGGCAATTTAAAATATTGTGGTTATCGTGACAGCTCTAAGAACAATCATTTTGAACTTTGTTCAAATGTCTAAAAGAAACGTACTTTTTACAAATAAATGTATTCATCCAGACTCTCAATAGCATCCTGTTTTGAGTATTTTCTCCATTCATCTGGAATCTTACCACTACCCTCAAATGTGTTCTCATAGTGCTCCTCTAGATCTTTCTGGAATCTGCACACAAACCACTTCCAGTAGGGCAGATCGGAGAGATCAGGGGTGATGCTCCAGTCTGCAAAAACTCCTCCTGCTCTTCTGTATTCTCTATATGGAAAAGGTTTATCTGAGGTCCTAAAATATTTTTCACTTGTCACTAAAGTTGTACAAAAATCTGCACTGAGATTTTTTGTTTTTCTGTAAGACCACCCATTGATTCCATCCACTCTATGGAAAGGAGCACTGTGATCTCCATCATGATTTTCTATGGTATTGGTGCAGAGGGCTTTACAGAATGGACACTGAACCCAACAGCAGTGAGAGAAATGATCACGCAGAAGCTCATCTGGCCTGAACTTGAGGTCCAGTTTTTCATCAAATGTTTGTGTGTTGAATTCTTTGCTTATGTCAGATGTTATGGCAGTAAGTTCATTCCTTATTACATCTTCTAGGAGTTTGAAATCATCAACATCATCATATTTCACTCCACTGAAATCTTTTTCAGAGAAGATCAGCTCATCTGATAGCTGCTGTGTGAAACTTTTTAACCATAAACCAACAACTCCTCTGTTCACTTGAACACGTTCTGTAGATTCATGTGCTGCTTTCATGATCTTCTCCTGCAGGAGTTTAATGTTGTCCTTCATCTTGGGTAATACACTGGCACTGAAATTAGCAGTGATGTACCGACTGACTAAAAGATCGATGAATATATTGAAGAGTTCTTTAGGAAGGTGAATGTAGGACCTATACAGTAGGAAACTGTCAGCTTCAGCCAGAAATGTAAGAATGTATTTCTCCAATTTTGATCTGTTTCCATTCAGTGATTCACAGTTTTTCATCATTTCATCTGTCACATATCTGGCAGTCTTCTTGTAGACACTCTGCTCAACGGGCTCTTTCAGTTTCTGACAGATGATCTTACCAAAAATAGCAGCTGATGCTGCTCCATGAAAGTATTTCTGGAAAACACTGTAGTACTCTTCTCTCTTCTTCTCAACATATATTAAAGGATCATTGGCATCCCTGAAAATTCTGTGCTGGTCTGTGAACATCTTATTTGCTTTTTGAAATATGGAAAGTGTTAGATTCATGATGAATTCATTCTTGAACACATAATCAACTGGTCCTGCCTCATGTTCTTTTACACTCCTTTTGATGTAATCTAGGAGCTCTTGAATGTAAGTAATGTTGTAGCCCATATTTACAATGTTATATGACTTAATCATTTTTTCTGTTTGCTGGGCAATGTCTTTAACTAAAGATGTTATTTTCTCCTCATCCTCTCTAGGTAGAGAAAGGCCTGTTGAAGATTTAATTGCTTTGATGGTTCTGTTTGCAATTTTAGAAGTTTTTTTGGATTTCTTGAACTTTATGTATTTTGCATAAGTCTGTAAAGAAAAAATATTGTCATTTTCATTGCTTAAATTCCAGGGATTTACATGGATGCTTTCATACATGTCATTGAGGACTAGTTTCACATCTTTCATTATGTCAATGTCTTTGATTGCTGGAGTGTCTCTGATGATATTCTTCACACACTGTTCCCAAAACAAATTAAACTCTTTCTTCAATGTTTCTTCATCATTAGTTTTGTCTTTGAGTTTTAAGGCAAGTTCTTTGCTCTTTTCCAAGAGCGTGTTTTGATGATGTGTCCTCTGAGCATCAATCTTTTTCTTCAGGTCTCGCTGATGAAGAATCTCATTTAATTTTCGCTTTGTTTCTCTCAAAATGTTTTCCTGAAGATCTTTGATTTTGATCTCAAATGATGCTTTCCAGTGAATCAGTATATCTTTATCTTTGTCTTTGTCAAAGAAGTTTGACATTGATTTTTCCACTTCTTCACTTGTTTTATTCAGTTCTTTTTGAAGATCAGCTTCCTCCACCTCATGAACTCTTTCATTTTCTATTTTGTTGTGTAGTTTGTTCTCAATTTCCATCATGGCACTGCGAAGACTCCAGGACCACTTGCTGTATTTTGTCTCCAGTTTTCTGTAGGCTGAAATTTCTAGAGAATTTTTAAAGCTGAAGATGAATCGTTCATTCAGTAAAGCCTCCCAGAGATCTTTAATTCGGTCTTTAAAATCAAGCAGCTTCATGCCATGAGCTTTTGAGGCATGAGACATAACAGTTTTCTTTAGTTCTTGAATATTCTCACAGTAGTTTGGGTTTGGTGGTGCCATGGGTGGACTCCCCTCCCAGAGCTGAGCAAAATACTTTACATCTTTCTGAACATCAAATTCAATGACATCATTGAAACGTTCTGCATCATAGACTTCCTCTTTAGCAGCGAGTTTTGTCATCTCATCCAGTGTCTCCTGCAGGCGTCTCCTTCCCTTCATGTTTATCTCTTCAGCTGTAATGTCTGAAACGTTCTGATGCACAAACACACAGCTGGGATTCAGTCTGACCTTCTTCATCCTTAGAAAGGCCTGAACGACAATCTGAAGAATGTCCTGCATCTCAGACGGGTTTTCTCCAAAGATGTTGATCAAGGTCAAATTTCCAATGCCAACAACAAATGTGGCCAATTCATTGTCATGATTACTAGTTGACCGTTCTGCCAGTTCTTGAGTACGAAGACCCTCAGTATCAACAACCAGAATATAGTCAAAATTCTTCTTATCTGGCACTCGGACCAGTTGCATGAAAGCTCCTCTGGTGCATCTGCCAGCACTGACGGCAAACTGGAGTCCAAACATGGCATTCAGCATGGTGGATTTCCCAGAGCTCTGAATCCCTAAAACTGACAGCACAAAGACCCTCTGGTCTCCCAGTTTCTGGACGAGTTGATCTAGAACAGCAGAGATCCAGATCACAGGAACATGAGCAGCATCTCCATCCATCAGCTCCAGTGGAAATCCAGAGATCATCATCTCTGCTGCGAGACTCGGGAGAGAAGAGAAGTGAACCTGCAGGTCTTTCTTGTTCTTCTTCACAGATGAACACGATTCATAGATCTGACCAATCTCCCTCATGATGTGCTCCAAACCAAAGGATGCAGCTTGAAGTTTCTCAGATATTCTCTCAAGTTCAGTTTGTTCATCTTTAAGGTGTTCAGATTTTTCATTGTTGTCTTTCATTTTTAAGACTGATGACCACTTTTCATTATACTTGTGATGTAGAGCAGAAATGTCAGCTGAGATATATTCATCCAGGAGGATTCTGAGCCATTTAAGGAAAAATATCTTCTCATGTTCATTATGTGAGTTCATTTCTTTAATAAAGAGCTTTATAAACTCACTGATGACAGATTCCTGCTGCTGCTGTTGTCGTATTGTTTTCATCTCTGTTTGTTTTCTACTTATTTCCATTTCTGACTCATTTCCTTGAGGTCGATGTAGTTCTTTGTTTTTCTGACTCCACTGATGCCACAGTTTCCCTTGATGAGGCAGAAATGATTCTTTGATTTCTGTCAGATCTTTCTTCTCCAGTAAACTCACCATCTGCTTTGCTGCTTCTCTTCCTCTTTTGCATTCATTATTATAATCCTCATCTACTCTGATATCTGAGTGTTTAGACACATCTTCAAGTTTGAAAGTGTGAGACGATTCTGAGATACAAACATTTATAACTCTTCTTAGCTCTTCAGATACATCTGACTGATTTCTGTCTTTCAAACCAATTTTGAATTTCCCTTTCTTCATCTCAATTACAGTAGATTCATCCTCAGCAAAAAGACAAATGAGTGGCTTTGAGTCCTTGTAGAGTTTTTCAACTTTTATAATGCTTTTGTCTTTCTTCTGAAAATGTGGAAGAAGAACAACATTGACAGAGGACCTTTCAGTGAGGATCTGCAGCTGTTTCTCATGGTCTCCTGCATCACCGTGTAGATTACAGAATGCAACACAGTCTGTGAATTTATCTGTGTTTTTCCCAGAGGGGCAGAACCAGGCGATCTCCACCACTCCATCCATCAGGACTCTGGTTCTGCTGCTGCCTGGGCAGTTCCTGTGGAAGAACGTGTTGTGTTTCTCATTGATCAGACTATTCATCAGCTGAGACTTGGAGGAAGACACAGAGCCAAACCTGAAGAAAGACACAATTGGAGTTTCTGCCTTATATATCGGCTGGGTTTTAATGATGATCTCATTGTTGATGTTTCTCATCTTCCAGCTTTTGCTGATTTGTCTGAATGTCCAGAGAGGAAACTCAATCTGTTGTGTGAATGGATCAGGAACAAGCAGAGGCAGAGCGTACTGACACTGGGACAGTTTAGTCACCATAAGCTGCTTCAGGAAACCATCAGCACAATGAAACACGGCCATCTGAACATCCATCGGGTAGATATGCTCAGACTGACTTGTTCCTTTGTTAGACAGAGACATAGATTTAGAAAAAAAAGTGAATGGATCAGGAACAAGCAGAGGCAGAGCGTACTGACACTGGGACAGTTTAGTCACCATAAGCTGCTTCAGGAAACCATCAGCACAATGAAACACGGCCATCTGAACATCCATCGGGTAGATATGCTCAGACTGACTTGTTCCTTTGTTAGACAGAGACATAGATTTAGAAAAAAAATCTTCAGAATCAACCTCATTTTTAGAAGAATTATTGCTACCATGCTGTTTGTGATCTTCCTTAGTGGTCTCTTTAGTTGTAATGTATCTTGCTTTGTAATTCATCATCAGAAGTTTTTGTATGAAAGTCTGAATCAGCTCTTCTTCACCACAAGACTCATGTGATTGTAATGAATGTTCAGTTATCTGAAGAACATCTGCGGCTCTCAGTTCGTCATGTTGCTCTTTAAGATGAAGCCTGGTAAAGAGACACTCTACTTTTTCTCTATTTTCTTTTCCTTCGTATTGATCCAGTCTCTTGCTGTCTGTTGAAAGCACATTAAAGATTACCTGTAAAATAAACATAATAATTTAAGGCAGTTTTCTGTGAATTATTTAGGACACAGTTCACTAGCTCATTAATGGTGGACAAAACATTCTGATAAACAGTAATACACAGCCTTTTAAATATGGTAGTTTTGGATGCAAGTCAACTGAATTCTATGTCTACTGTATAAAAGCATCTATAATATTTTTCCGCAGTGCACTCCATAATGAGTTACATACTATAAAAGTTAACATGAAATAGTATTATGAAAAGATATACCAATTGTGATGCACAATGCTTAACCATTTTAAGATTTCTTTACCACTCACTGAACTAATTTTATATTACCCTTTGTAGTTGTTTGATGCAGTACAGGAACATGTTGATAAGAAAGCCAGCGATGCTCCACAGTGCATTCAACACACTTTTTCTTTCAACATGTTTTCTGACCTATAACAAGTCAAACAAGATATGCAAAACATGTTAAATATTCTTTAAGAGTTGTTTACACATGAGAGCAGGAATGAATCAACATTAAATATATACAGTGCCCTCCACTAATATTGGCACCCTTGGTAAATATGAGCTGTGAAAACAAATATGAAAAATGTATTATTTTATTCAAAAAATTAACAAAATTCGAATCTTTCAGTGAAGAAAAACAATTGAAAGTGCGGGAAAAAACTCATAATAATTTCTAGGGGTGCCAATAATTGTGGCCAGTATGCATTTGGGGAAAAAAAACATTTATTTCATGAGTAAAATATCTCTGAAGTATATTCCCATTCATATATACATTTTTAGCACACCAGGGTGACTAGGAGCATGAAATTGTCCAGCCATGACTTCCTGTCGCACAGGATTATAAATATGAGGAACACAAAGGCCAAATTCCCTAAATCAGCAGTAAAACCAAAGCATATAGTTCTGATCTGTGGAACAAGATTGCTGAGCTTCACAAAAGAGAAAGTGGCTGTAAGAAAAGAGCTAAAGCATTGAAAATCCCCATTTTCACCATCAGGGCAATAATTAAGAAGTTCCAATAAACAGAAAATTTTACAAATCTGCCTGGAAGAGGACGTGTCTATATCGTCCTAATGCACTGTGAGGAGGAGAGCTTGAGTGGCCAAAGACTCTCTAAGGATCACAGCTGGAGAATTGCAGGGAGTAGCTGATTCTTGGGGCCAGAAAGCCTAAAAAAGTCAAATAGCCCCTACATCACCACATGCTGTTCAAGAGAGTTTCAAGAAAAATCCTGCTCGCTCATCCAAAAACAAACTCCAGCATATTCGGTTGTCAGAGACAACTGGAACTTTAAATGGGACTAGCTTCTATGGTCAGATGAAACCAAAAAAAATAGCTTTTTGGCAGCAAACACTCAAGCTGGGTTTGGTGCAAACAGGCATAAAAAGTACCTCATGCCCAGTTTAATATACTGCTGGATCATTAATGTTGTGGGCCTATTTTTCTGCCAGACATCCTGGACATCTTGTTTATATACATGGCCTCATGGATTCTATCAAATACCAACAGATTAAAAAATCTAAACCTGACTGCCTGTTAGAGATCTTATAATGAGTCGTGGTTGGATCATCCATCAGGACAATGATCAAAAACAAACATCAAAACAAACACAAAAATGTGTCACTGAGGACAAAATGAAGCTTCTGCCAATGGCTGTCCCAGTCCTCTGACTTGAACCCTATAGAAAATGAGTGGGGTGAACTGAAGAGGGGAAGCACCAACATGGAGCTGGGAATCTGAAGGGTCTGGAGTTATTCTGAATAAAATAAAGGTCTCTGATCTCTTGCCAGGTGTTTTCCAAACTCATCAGGCATTATAGGAGAGACTCAGAGCTGTTATCTTCAGAAAAGGACTTTGCAATTGTGGCCAACGTGAACTAGAGAAAAATTTATTTCATTATTCATTATTTATTTCATTATTTCAAGATCAAAAAGATAAACTATGCAGATTTATTTCCACAGCTGCTTTTGCTCATATTTACCAAGGGTGCCAATATTTGTGGAGGGTGCTGTATATATAAAAACATTTCAATATATTCTTTAGAGTTTACTGTATTTGTATGATATACCTTTGCACAAAACCCCCTGAAAGTGAAATAACGCTCAAAGGAGAGGCTGATGGAGAGCTGCAAGCAATGACAACAATCATTGTCAACATTGGAGCAGAATGATTTGGAGAAGAGGAGAATAAATGTATTAAAACTAGGGATGTCCCAATCAGGTTTTTTGCGCCCCCGATCCGAACCGAGTCATTAAATACTGAGTATCTGCCGATACAGAGTCCCTATCCGATACTTGTATTTTCCTACTTGTATGATACTTGTACGTTTGGTGCAGTGGCGTAACTTAGTAATGACGGGCCCCAGTGCAGGCTATTACGACGGGCCCCCTGGGGTGCACGGTTATGAAGCACATACAAACACAGCGCTCGTGTCTAGAAGGGAACCCATATAAGCAAATTTGTGCCTAACCTACTTAAGTTAGACCAACTAAAATCAGTATCTTATCAGTTTCTTATAATAAATTGAACATCGAAACTCAAATTGAATCACAACGTTTTGTTGATATTGTGAATGCACACAAATAAAAGTAGACTCTGTACAAAAACTTACCTTTATGAGCAAAAATTACGGCGTATTTTAAGTTGTTTCCACTATTAAGAAAAAAATGCAAGTGAGTGATCGCGCTGGCACCTCCATGTCCTGCAAAGTGCCTTCAGCTTCCACTATTCACACAAACGATTAGATATGCGCCTAATAGCGCACATTTATGAATGTGTTATGGCGAGCGCTGGTTGCTGCTGTTATCAGTTCTCTCTTGGCTCTGCAGCACAACACAATGTCTAGTCATCACACAGAGGA